AACTACTCACAGATCTTAGGTAAGGACATACACACCCACAACTACTCACAGATCTTAGGTAAGGACATACACACCCACAACTACTCACAGATCTTAGGTAAGGACATACACACCCACAACTACTCACAGATCTTAGGTAAGGACATACTCAGCAATAACTACTCACAAATCTTAGGTAAGGACATACACCCCCACAACTACTCACAGATCTTAGGTAAGGACATATACACACACACAACTACTCACAGATCTTAGGTAAGGACATACACACCCACAACTCCTCACAGATCTTAGGTAAGGACATACACACCCATAACTACTCACAGATCTTAGGTAAGGACATACACACCAACAACTACTCACAGATCTTAGGTAAGGACATACACACCGACAACTGCTCACAGATCTTAGGTAAGGACATACTCAGCCACAACTACCCACAGATCTTAGGTAAGGACATACTCAGCCATAACTACTCACAGATCTTGGGTAAGGACATACGCACCCATAACTACCCATAGATCTTAGGTAAGGACATACTCAGCCATAACTACTCACAGATCTTGGGTAAGGACATACACACCCACAACTACTCACAGATCTTGGGTAAGGACATACGCACCCATAACTACCCATAGATCTTAGGTAAGGACATACTCAGCCATAACTACTCACAGATCTTGGGTAAGGACATACGCCCCCATAACTACCCACAGATCTTGGGTAAGGACATACACACCCATAACTACCCACAGATCTTGGGTAAGGACATATACACTCACAACTACTCACAGATCTTAGGTAAGGACATACACCCCACAACTACCCACAGATCTTAGGTAAGGACATACTCAGCCATAACCACTCACAGATCTTAGGTAAGGACATACACACCCATAACTATTCACAGATCTTAGGTAAGGACATACTCAGCCATAACTACTCACAGATCTTGGGTAAGGACATACGCACCCATAACTACCCATAGATCTTAGGTAAGGACATACTCAGCCATAACTACTCACAGATCTTGGGTAAGGACATACGCACCCATAACTACCCATAGATCTTAGGTAAGGACATACTCAGCCATAACTACTCACAGATCTTGGGTAAGGACATTCGCAGCCATAACTACCCACAGATCTTAGGTAAGGACATATGCAGCCATAACTATCCACAGATCTTAGGTAAGGACATACGCCCCCATAACTACCCACAGATCTTGGGTAAGGACATACACACCCACAACTACTCACAGATCTTGGGTAAGGACATACGCACCCATAACTACCCATAGATCTTAGGTAAGGACATACTCAGCCATAACTACTCACAGATCTTGGGTAAGGACATACGCACCCATAACTACCCATAGATCTTAGGTAAGGACATACGCACCCATAACTACCCACAGATCTTGGGTAAGGACATACACACCCATAACTACCCACAGATCTTGGGTAAGGACATACACACCCATAACTACCCACAGATCTGGGGTAAGGACATACACACCCATAACTACTCACAGGTCTTAGGTAAGGACATACACACCCACAACTACTCACAGATCTTGGGTAAGGACATACGCACCCATAACTACCCATAGATCTTAGGTAAGGACATACGCACCCATAACTACCCACAGATCTTAGGTAAGGACATACCCAGCCACAACTACCCACAGATCTTAGGTAAGGACATACTCAGCCATAACTACTCACAGGTCTTAGGTAAGGACATACACACCCACAACTACTCACAGATCTTGGGTAAGGACATACGCCCCCATAACTACCCACAGATCTTAGGTAAGGACATATGCAGCCATAACTATCCACAGATCTTAGGTAAGGACATACGCACCCATAACTACCCACAGATCTTGGGTAAGGACATACACACCCATAACTACCCACAGATCTTGGGTAAGGACATACACACCCACAACTACTCACAGATCTTGGGTAAGGACATACGCCCCCATAACTACCCACAGATCTTGGGTAAGGACATACACGCCCATAACTACTCACAGATCTTAGGTAAGGACATACACACCGACAACTACTCACAGATCTTAGGTAAGGACATACCCAGCCATAACTACTCACAGATCTTAGGAAAGGACATTCGCAGCCATAACTACCCACAGATCTTAGGTAAGGACATATGCAGCCATAACTATCCACAGATCTTAGGTAAGGACATACGCACCCATAACTACCCACAGATCTTGGGTAAGGACATATACACTCACAACTACTCACAGATCTTAGGTAAGGACATACACACCAACAACTACTCACAGATCTTAGGTAAGGACATACACCCCCACAACTACTCAGAGATTTTGGGTAAGGACATACGCACCCATAACTACTCACAGATCTTGGGTAAGGACATTCGCAGCCATAACTACCCACAGATCTTAGGTAAGGACATACACACCCACAACTACTCACAGATCTTGGGTAAGGACATACGCACCCACAACTACTCACAAATCTTGGGTAAGGACATACACCCCCACAACTACTCACAGATCTTAGGTAAGGACATACACACCCACAACTACCCACAGATCTTAGTTAAGGACATACACACCCACAACTACTCACAAATCTTGGGTAAGGACATACGCACCCATAACTACCCACAGATCTAACTTAGTCCAAAGAAACACCAGATTAAAATCACTAAAGCTCAAACAACACCAGATTGAAATCACTAAAACTCAAACAACACCAGATTGAAATCTCTAAAACTCAGACAACGCAAGATTGAAATAACTAAGCTCAAACAACACCAGATTGAAATCTCTAAAGCTCAAATACCACCAGATTGAAATCACTAACGCTCAAACAACACCAGATTGAAATCACTAAAACACAAATAACACCAGACTAAAATCACTAAAACTCAAATAACACCAGATTGAAATCACTAAAGCTCAAATAACACCATATTGAAATCACTTAAGCTAAAAAAATCTCTTGTTATTTACAGGAAAGTTTGTAAGTAACACACTGAAACAGCACCAGGGGAAACTGACCAGTGACCAGTTGATGGTGCTAATGGTCAGTCAGGTGTCCGAGAAGAGTGGACATGGTAAGTTAGAGATCAAGAAATAATCTGTTGTATGTTAAGTCCTCCAAATACATTTCCATCTTATTCTATCCATTTTGTTGGCAACAAAAACTAAATATAACCTCATACAAAGCAATGACTTTGATTTAATACGATCTCATACTACAGAATTTTAATTCTTTAATTTACTGTCACCAGTTCATATACATTTTTAGATTTCAGTGTTCAAAAGACAATATCTTACCAGAGGTTTCGCTATAAGTAAGATTTTGCATTAAGCATGTTCATTTAACTCAATCAACCCTGAAGACACATTTGAACTCTTCCAATTCAAAGGTTGGATTAGTACATTATAAAATTTCAGGGGTGAATGAGATAAAAGCATGTCGTATTGAAATTTGGCAGGGGTATTCGGAATAGTTAACTGCAAAAACTGATTCGTTATATTTACAGCAAAGCCTCACAACCTTTTTCTTGAGCCACGGAAATGGAGGCAATCATGTGAGGATAGAAAGGATATCATCAAAGACTTCACCTCTGAGAACATGTTTGACAGTATAGGTAAGATAAATGTAGGATCAGTCCTTTCTTTGTCCAGTTTATGTGTGATACCGGATAAGTCCTTGTCAAATTGTTATACCCCCGCAACGAAGTTAGGGGGGGTATACTGGAATCACCCTGTCTGTCTGTCTGTCTGTCTGTCTGTCTCTCACTCACTCACTCACTCACTCACTCACTCACTCACTCACTCACTCACTCACTCACTCACTCACTCACTCACTCACTCACTCACTCACTCACTCACTCACTCACTCACTCACTCACTCACTCACTCACTCACTCACTCACTCACTCACTCACTCACTCACTCACTCACTCACTCACTCACTCACTCACTCACTCACTCACTCACTCACTCACTCACTCACTCACTCACTCACTCACTCACTCACTCACTCACTCACTCACTCACTCACTCACTCACTCACTCACTCACTCACTCACTCACTCACTCACTCACTCACTCACTCACTCACTCACTCACTCACTCACTCACTCACTCACTCACTCACTCACTCACTCACTCACTCACTCACTCACTCACTCACTCACTCACTCACTCACTCACTCACTCACTCACTCACTCACTCACTCACTCACTCACTCACTCACTCACTCACTCACTCACTCACTCACTCACTCACTCACTCACTCACTCACTCACTCACTCACTCACTCACTCACTCACTCACTCACTCACTCACTCACTCACTCACTCACTCACTCACTCACTCACTCACTCACTCACTCACTCACTCACTCACTCACTCACTCACTCACTCACTCACTCACTCACTCACTCACTCACTCACTCACTCACTCACTCACTCACTCACTCACTCACTCACTCACTCACTCACTCACTCACTCACTCACTCACTCACTCACTCACTCACTCACTCACTCACTCACTCACTCACTCACTCACTCACTCACTCACTCACTCACTCACTCACTCACTCACTCACTCACTCACTCACTCACTCACTCACTCACTCACTCACTCACTCAGATGGAGTTATGCCCCTTTGTGCGAAATGCTTGTTTATTTTTTGGTTATTAATAAAATAGTGATTACCATAACTCATTACTGGTGGGAGACTATATTGCTTTGCATAAGTAAGCCTTTAGCGCACAGTTCTGGTTTATATAGGAGCGGGGGTATTACTTAGCTTTTGGCTTACAGTTCTAGTTCACTTTGAGTTAATTTACCTGGGGGAGGGGGTTCTTTTGATCCTAGTGCACTGGTTGGTGTACTGCAGACTTAGCTCTTGGGATCAATATAAATTATGACTCTAAATGGGGAACTTGAAGTAGTTTTATGAATAGTGGTTATCTCTAAAATCACAGCTGGAGAGATACTTTCGTACGGTAACCAGTTTTAACAAGGTAATAACAGTGATCTGTACTTGTGTCTGGGTTACAGAGTGGCAGCGTCCAGTTGACAGACAGGAACTGGACAATGTGATAGGTGACCAGGATCTCCGCTACTTTGTGTCCGACTCGTCTAACATCCAGGACATGGAGACTGCTGTACTGGATAACCCACACAACATCCCAATCTGGCTCAAACTGGCTCACAAAAAACTCCACGACCCCAACAGGTAGGTCAGAGGTCATGAATCCATAGGACAAGGCCATGAACTTTGTTGACAGGATTCTATCCCATTGCTTAGAAGGTACATGTACCATTTAAATTAAATTGTACAAAAGACACTGAATCACATATCAGCATGTATTTTGTTTTATGCTTCAGGCAGTTTAATATTATGATTGATATTACATGTCTGTAGGTACCCTATAGTGATTTATGTCTGTCTCTCTGTCCATGTGTCCGTCCGTTCGTTTCATTTTTCCAGAGATTATCTCGAAATCCAAAAGGCTAATCTTTTTGAAATTTCACATCATGATACACTGTCATAATATGTAGATGGGTTTAAAAAGCTTCTAAGGTCAGGGTCACTATCACTAAAAAATGACAAGCTTGGGTTATGGTCAGGCACATGGCTGGGCCCTTGCTGACCTGTCAGTGTTCCAGTTTCAACGTATTCTTATGACCTAAAAATAGATAAATACCAGAGATGATATGGAATGACTTGAACACAATTTTGGATAATAGTGAGATCTATATATATATGTAAACATGTTGTTTGGCTGTCATTTATATATGAGGAAGTAATTTGTAGATTGTCAGACATTTGGTATTAATTAAATCCTGCGAGGCTTTATGTTGAACTGCTCTGTGATTTGTATGTTTGCCCTGTGTTACAGTGGAAGTGAGACGTGTCTGGACCATGCCCTTAACGTGTTGGCACGGGGCCTTGAGGAGAACAAGGACAGTGCTGACTTGTGGCAGGGCTACCTCAGTCTGTACGCAAAACACAAGGAATCAAGTGACCTACAACAGCTGTGTGAGACTGCTCTTGAATACACACAGAGCTACACCCTCTGGTGGCAGGTCCGTACTGCAGGGGTTGTCTCCCTTTGTGCATTCTTTTCACTTCCCTCTTTATCTGATTTATCTGAAAATTGGTATTCATTAGTAATCTTGAGAAAAAGTTTTCCGAAAATGCATGCGAAGCAAAAGAAATAATTAACTAGTGATGGCTTTAATTTAAATTGGTCTGTATTAAACTATAAAACAAAACTAATCAAAGTTGGACCAAATTTTAAATGCTTGTGTTTTATTTCAGTACCTGAATGTGTGTACATCATGTCAGCAGAAACAGGAAGTGTGTGACCAGATGCTGGAGTATGTAAGACTGGCAGAGGACCGCTTCCCTCAGGAAGTACGTTCACACTGGGTCCTTGAGGTCATTCTCTACAAAACCTCTCTGTACGTATGGACAGGCAAGTTCAAAGCCGCCATCAAACACATGCAGGTTAGTACCGAGTCAGGAACTGATATATCAGCGCAATATCTGTCCACTTTGTAATCATTTAAAATCATTTAAAATCTCTTGCACCTTGCTTAACAATACTTCGCTTTTGGCTTTAATGTTGAAATTTGGCCCAGGTGAGGAAGGCAGTGGGTTTTGTCTCCATGCCAAGACATACCAAAGTCTTTAAAAATGGTTGTTGTTGTTCCCTACTTAATGTTCAGCATATCTGGTTTACCGTTATCAGTATAATGTGACCGGGCAGAGTACAGTGCTGGGTGCCTTTAGCATGGTATTTTAGTGAGGTAATACTCTAAAGTCAGCATCAGATTTGCACTATCGCAAGGAGGCAATTACACCAACATACCTTGCCTCCAGCACAGGTCATTAAATGTCGTTCGCTGTTGATACGGCATAAAACCCCATAAAACCAAATAAAGACCTTTGCTTTACATAACCTGTCCTATATTCAGTGAAGCTTTACATAACCTGTCCTATATTCAGTGAAGTGGAAATTAACCCAACATTACAACGAGGTGCTCTTGGAATACTCATGTTTGAGAAAATAACATTGGTATGAAGTTAAAAGGCTAACTTTTATATAACAGTTCATGATAGTCACTATGGCCTCTGATTGGCTGAGACAATAACAGTTGTATTTTTTTTTTGATAATTTGTGGAAATGAAGGGGATATACTTTATGATAGAGGGCTAACTTGCAAAGGGGCCACTGACAGGCTGAGACAATGACAGTTGTGATTTGAGTTGGATAAAGCCAACATTGTTCGTGCATTGTGGGAGTGATACTTAGGGGATACATTTTAAATAAAGTATGAAAACCATTACATTTCAGGATTCAAGAAGGCCACTAGGCTTCTGAATGGTTTTTGGTTTGTTTGTTTGTGTTTTACGTCCTATTAACAGCTATGGTCATTTAAGGATGTGTCAGGTTTTGGTGGTGGAGGAAAGCCTCAGTTCCCGAAGAAAAACCACCGACCTGCGGCCAGTACCTGGTGACTGCCCCATGTAGGCCTCGAACTCGCGACCCAGTGGTGGAGGGCTAGTGGTAGCAGAATTTCAGATGCCTTAACCACTTGGCCACAGTGGCCAGGACTGAATGGCTAGGACGTTAAAACGTCAATGGTAGAATTGAGTTATCATATGGTTTAGAGCTTTAGGTTTCTTAAGTTTTGTTGGGGAAACAATACTATTCAAAGTTTCCTTTTTCTTATCCATCAAGTCTGATGAAAAAATGATATGATTTACTTTTAATTAACTTTTAATTAATCAACACCTCAGCTTTTATGCCTGTGTGTGTGGCTATTGACTTGCAGCAGTGAAACTCAATTGAATATCTTAAGAACTGGAAAATTTGTGCTATTTAAAAAACCGTCTTGTATTAAAGGGACTATTTAGTCAACTATCAAGCCAGTGATAAAAATAACTAGGACAAAGATAACACAAAACCAGGGCATTTCAGTTAGAAAACCCCTGCTTTGTACCCATACATGTACCACACGGTCAATGGTATCATGGACACATTGAACTTTAATCAATATGTCACATGCAAAAATTATATGTATCATTAAGATATTTCTGTTCAATTTTGGATTAAAATAAAAAGAAGCAAAGTTTAATGAGAGTATGCACCTAAGAAGGTACCGAATGATGAATTAGAAACTGCCCAAAGTCAGATAGGAGTAGCTGGAAAGACAATTTTGTTTAAAAAAATAAAAGATGTTTGCTCATTCTCAATAAGCAACAAAACCCCCGACAGTGCTGCTAAAATGTATGGCTACACCATTAACAATTTCCTCATTATTCATTACGAATGCCAAACAAAACCTTGTTTCTTGTCAATTTCTTGCCATGAATTGTTCTTGGGAGGTATCCAGCTTTATTACCATTTAAGATTTNTAATATAGGCAGATAAAAGTGGCTCCCTCTGCTGGGTTCTAATGACATGAAATGAATGTGCTGCCCTCTGTTAGATGCTAATATAGGCAGATAAAAGTGGCTCCCTCTGCTGGGTTCTAATGACATGAAATGAATGTGCTGCCCTCTGTTAGATGCTAATATAGGCAGATAAAAGTGGCTCCCTCTGCTGGGTTCTAATGACATGAAATGAATGTGCTGCCCTCTGTTAGATGCTAATATAGGCAGATAAAAGTGGCTCCCTCTGCTGGGTTCTAATGACATGAAATGAATGTGCTGCCCTCTGTTAGATGCTAATATAGGCAGATAAAAGTGGCTCCCTCTGCTGGGTTCTAATGACATGAAATGAATGTGCTGCCCTCTGTTAGATGCTAATATAGGCAGATAAAAGTGGCTCCCTCTGCTGGGTTCTAATGACATGAAATGAATGTGCTGCCCTCTGTTAGATGCTAATATAGGCAGATAAAAGTGGCTCCCTCTGCTGGGTTCTAATGACATGAAATGAATGTACTGCCCTCTGTTAGATGCTAATATAGGCAGATAAAAGTGACTCCCTCTGCTGGGTTCTCATGACATGAATTGAATGTGCTGCCCTCTGTTAGATGCTAATATAGGCAGATAAAAGTTGCTCCCTATGCTGGGTTCTAATGACATGAAATGAATGTGGTTAACAGAAACAGACAAAAGTAGTGCCTTCTATTGGTGGCTAACAAAAACAGACAAAAGTAGTGCCTTCTGTTGGTGGCTAACAGAAACAGACAAAAGTAGTGCCATCTGTTGGTGGCAACAGAAACAGACAAAAGTAGTGCCATCTGTTGGTGGTTAACAGAAACAGACAAAATGGTGCCATATGGTGATGGTGAACAGAAACAGACAAAGTAGTGCCATCTGTTGGTAGTTAACAGGGATAAACTAGAAGTGGTACCATGTACTGATGGCTAACAGAAACAGACAAAAGTAGTGGTACTAACAGATTAAACTAGAAGTGGTACCATGTACTGATGGCTAACAGAAACAACTGAAAGTGCCCTGTTTTTGGTGCAGTTTTGTGTCGTCGCCCTGAAATATTTTATGATTCAACTCATGATTAGAATAAAATATTCACATGCTTTCCCAATAATGTCATCAAGCAAAATAGATCATTTCTGCGATAATGATTATCAAGTTTTGAAGTAATTTACCTTAAAATGCTATTCAGTTTTAAGTGCTGCAAATTGTACGCAAGACTGTTTACTATCATTCAGAAATTCTTTAACTGTCTCTTAAAATTTAACTAATACTGTTAAGTTTTATTAATGTTTATAAATGGCTTTTAAATATATATAAAGAAAAAAAAGAAAATGTCAAGATTTGTGTCAACTGTCAACAGCGGGCTCCCAGGGTAATATAATTATCAATTAAGTCATTGAGGAAACATAACGAGCCTGTGTCATGCATGAAGGACCCCCGCTAGAGTATTTCCACCACGCAATGTTTAAATTGGGTTAAAAAAAATTAGCTAAATTGTCAAATCCTGGTTGATTGGGGGTGCATAGTTATATGGACTTGTATTCATTGAGAGCATAACCAACTTACAGGTAGCAATACTAAACCATTATACATGATAATCTATATAATAACTTACACTTTAGATTATACAGGATATTTTATTAGAAATTGCAAAAGGTATTATTTTCACTAGGAATTTCAATGTATATGAAAACAGTCCTCGTTGAAAATTCCCCTACATTATAATTAACAATACTTTGAATAACTGGGCTTCCCCCTTCAAATGATTTGATTTGTTTATTTGGGAAGGAACCATTATGACCCTGAGAGTATACGTAGGAGACATGAAGACCGTGTAGCTGTCGGTATGGGAAAACTGACATTTATACCTCTCGGTTAAATCCTGCTGCAAGCTTCATTTAACATTAGTTGTGGTTTAGTACTGGTGTATACTGATTGGTATTACATACCTTCCTTCAAGCTTATATGTTGATCAGTACTAACTTTCATTTTCCAGAAAGCATGCCAGTTCATACATTTTCAATTGCTATATAGTAAGATGAAGAACTGTTTTAACTTGATAAAATAATACAAACTTAAGTAACAATTTAAATCTGACCTATCAGAATGGTTTCTGTACAAAATGGGCACTAGAAAGGTCAATGCAGATTGGATGAACACTGAGCCAAATTAGAAGTGTTGGCTTAAAATCCCAGACAATAGTATTAATCATAAAACTTATTTTATTTCTTGGATAGATATCTCTCACAACTGCACACAGAGATAAATATCTCTCACAACTGCACACAGAGATAAATATCTCTCACAACTGCACACAGAGATAAATGATTTCCTTGAGCAAAATGAAAACAATGGTCAGATTTGCTTTAAACAAATTACACCAGAAGGGTAAATATTTGTTTTCCCAAAAATGTATGAAGTAGAATGTTAAATGGGTTCACTGTGATTACAATCTAACTTTTACGAGTACTGTAAATCAGAATATTTGTTTTGCTCAAATGTTTTTCGCCCTCTGGTCTTTTAAAAGAATCTGCCAACTGAAGAAAATGTTAAGTATTATCTGCCTTGTGTTGTATACACTACCATGTAGTTTGCATTCAACATTTGTCTGTCCTTCTAGGATGAAAATTAAATTGGGGTGAATACTTCCTATGTATCAGAACTTCATTCTCTTCACTCCTGCTTCACACTTAAGGAAACATTGATAATTTGCTATGTTCGTGAGTTAGTTTGCAATGCCTGACTGAAAATTTGAAATTTAAAATAACATCAATGTCTCTTTATATAACAAATCTTAATAACATTTTACATTTAAGTAGACACGTTTAACCAGCGTGATGGGACAAGTGAAATCATCGTAAAATCATGATGGTAGATGACATTTAGTAGTGAGTAGAGGAGTGTTGTTACAAATGTAAGGAAGGACTGACCTTGATGATTTACTTGGGAGACATCATTAGATAGCATGCCTATGTAATTGCAGTGATCAATCAGTCTAAAACACGTCTGGCATAGAAAAACTGCTCCCCAGTTATTGGGATTACTTTGAAGGTTGGTTTGAAGTAACTAGATTGAAATATAAGAAGTTAAAACTGCAGTTTTTACTTGAGAACCAAGTCGAACACCTGTGTCGGAGATTGTTGTGGCGTGTATTGCTGTAGGTAAGGATTGTTTTGTCAAGTGCATAGGAAGAAATCTGATGTAATAGTTTATTAACCTTGGTAAATTCCTGTTTTGCTGACCGTAATAAAATACATCATTACCTTGATAAATAGCTTACCTGTTGACCTTGATAAATATTTGATGTGTTGACCTTGATCTGTATACCTTTTGACCTTAATAGTTGATGTGATGACCTTGACGTTTATCATCTCAGTACTTTACTAGTATGCGGGAGAGGGTCACCATTTTGACCTTAAGTAGAATGCTGAAGAAGTGATTAACCTTGACCTCATCGACATGAGTAGACTTAACTGAATATGCTTGTATTAAACCATATTGTGTTTACCTTGACCTGTCAGGTATGTTGATAAAACTATTAATGTTGACCTTGACCTTTCAGAGCGTGCTGAAGACAGAGGAGAAATTGAGGTGGATAAGCAAGTGCCTTGTAACAAATGACCAGTGCCTTCTGTGGGTGTCCTATGTCCACCTGAAGGAGATGAAGGTCCTCCCCACTCAACTGTATGACCCCCTCAATCAGATGTCTGGACGCATAGTAAATAAGGTGTGTAGCCTCCCGTCCCTCTCCTGTACAGTTTGTCTCTCTCCCACAATCTACAAACGTTTACCATATAAATGGATTTATAACATTTGAAGAAAAGAAAAAACTTTGTGGTAACTAAATACTTGAACTTCCAGTTCTATGCTAAAGACCAAAATGATTGTATATTTTATGATTTAGTCTTTGTGTTACAGACGGATATTATGATAGACTGGACTAGTAAAGAAAGCTTGACCACAGCAGTGACCATTCTGGTTGAGCTGCTAAATAAGGCCATCAGCTGCTGTGTGGGTCGCATTGAGGTCAACAATCCTCTGGTTGATCAGGGAGGCATCCTCTATCTCAACCTCTTCAACCTCCTCAAGTGTCAGGAAAGGTAAGGATTATTTTCTTGTATATAAACCACTCTTACTAAAACCACCTAAGTAATCCTAAATACCATAAAGTAAAAATTTGTGAAATTTGATTTATTGTATATAGATATGTTATAGTGATGATACTATCAAAAATACTCTGTATTGCCCTCCCTTACCCACCAGTGTTGACTTGGGTGTTAAATAATGTCACACCAAAACTGGACACTTGTGGGAAAACAGCCCAAGAAACTGTCATGCAATGCAATGAAGTATTTGTATGTATGCAGTTTTCACTTGATGATACTTTTATGACAATTCAACTGTATATAAGCTATATTGGCTGCTGATTAACGTAAAAAGAACAATCAAAGGTAAGAATAATTACCAAAACAAAACTTTTGTAATTTACTTGGTCATGCACCGCTATATATTTGGATATCGTTTTCAAAAGTCTTTTTTAGCAAAACCAATGCTAGTTTGGAGAAGAAATTTAATCAGAACCCCCTATGACTCTAAAATATTTGAACTATGTTGAATTTCCTGCTGATATTGATATTTTATCCCCAAATATTAGCCAAAATATCAAAGGGTCCCTTTCAGGGTACAGTAACACCTGTTCAAGGGCCTATGTGACCCTGATATTATTTTGCGCTTTATTTATAGAACCAATGGCCAGAAATACCAACTTGCAATAGAAATGAAAAGTGGATGGTATCTATTTATGAAAAATGAACAAACATTTTGAAATGATAGTGTGGTATAAAGTACATTGATATTTATCTAAAAAGTGTCATGTTTTTGGTACAGTCTTCGGTGGATGCTACTTATGTCATATAACTGGGATCCCAAAATCTTAAGTAAACCATTTGTCATGCTCACTGATACTATAAATACAGAACAGGGTTGGTAATGGTACTTAGTAATTATCCTACGTTGGTAATGCCATATTTTTCGGATCCAGAAATCCAAGATGGCCACCATCTTAATTCTGATTTGTTAAGACAAACGTGGAGATCAGTTTTGTTCTTTTGATACAATTTTGATTATACTTGGTGGTGAATATAGTCTACAGAGTGAATAAGGACATACTGTTCTAGTTCCATAAAACAAGATGGCCACCATGGTTTCTTATTGGCTGAGACCTTTCATGTTATACCTTCCATTTTGCTGGTCTGACAATGTCGTGGTGGTAACTAGCAGTATTTAGTGGTAATCATAAAACAATTGTTGGCTTATATCAAATTAGTGTACTGTTATAAATTCATTTTTACAGTTCACATGTACCTGTGCTAAAGATAAGGATACATTCATTCGTATAGTTTTCAAGTCCCTGTGCCTTAGATAAGGATACATTCATTCGTACAGTTTTCAAGTCCCTGTGCCTTAGATAAGGATAAATTCATTCTTACAGTTTTCAAGTCCCTGTGCCTTAGATAAGGATAAATTAATTCTTACATTTTATTGCTGTAATAAATGTAAATCCCAGTGTTAAAGAAAATATATTCATGCAAGATTAGTCCATATTGAAGTAAGTGTTGCCCATGCGTAATTAACATCTGTAACGAGGCCAGTATTGCCCTTTATCACATACCTGTTGAATCTTATTATAGTAATACAACCAATTTTCAGACCATGAAATACAACGTTCTGTATTGCACATGTTTAATACGGAATGTTGTATTTACTGTGCGGACGTGAAATAAACTCATGCTTTCTGATTCGTTAGAAAAACACAAGTGTGTGGTCTTGCATATGTATGTAATGTTACATCCCATACCCATTGTAGAGGGAGTCCTTATGTTTGACCCTTACCAAGGTCACATTTAAATCCAACATTTAACACCAGATTTAAAGAAATGAAACCCCATAGAAAGACAAAGTGTGATAGGGTTTTGTATCCTCTGATTGTTGCGATTACAGTTGTTGTTTTGTGAGAAGCGTAGAATGTGCAGATGTGTTTTCGTGCCCCATTACACAAATATAAGTGGACAGATTTGTATCGTAATGTTATCCACTGGCTACCTGTGAGGTCAGGCTGAATTAGCCCAGTTTTATGTCATCGGAGACGCTTCTTCGTGTAATGTGGCCTACTGCACCAGTTGATTAATGCAAGAATTACCAGCCTAATAGAAGTAATATCAAATTCGATTTTCTAACATTAGTGAGTAGTGGTAAATAGAGGACATGACTTTCTATAGTGGGGAAAACATCATCTTACATCAACAGCACCAGTCAATCGTATCTTTGAATAGTGTGGAAAAAAGATGGCAAATTAAAAACTTCTCCACCATAAGCATTTTCCACTAACAAAACAGGGATATCATAATATTTCCTGCGTGTAAAGTTTTTGGGCAAGTTCTAGTTCTTTTGAAATTACTGGGCAGATTTCAACCAAATTTGGCAGGAAGCATCCTTAGGGAAAGGGTGATTCAAGATTGTACAAATGAGTTCCCTGACCCCCCAGGGTACAGATGGGCGGGGGGCCAAAAGGGGTAAATTTGACGGTATGCCTTTAAACGATATCTCCTCTTTGACTATTTGGCAGATTTTAACCAAATTTAACAGGGAGCATCTTTAGGGGAAGGGGATTCAAGATTGTACAAATGAATTCCCTGACCCCCCAGAATACAGATGGGCGGGGGGCCAAAAGGGGTAAATTTGACGGTATGCCTNTGGAACTTTACAGATAAGGAGTAAAATAACTTTTTCTACAATGTTTGAAGAAGAACTTAAAACTTTTAGACAAGATAGATATATGTATGGGGAAGTGTACCAAACTTTCAGAATTTAAATATGACCCCCAGGGACCGGGCCAGAGGGGTGGAGTGATGGGGGTAAACAATTTTTTTTATATAACCATGAGTTCTAACATTTTACAATAATTTGTTTTTGCATATGGTAAGCAGGGGATGTGTTAGGGGTTACTCTGGGGGAGGGGGGGTGGGGGGGATAGCGGGAGTGTGCCATCGACAATGTAGTTCTAGTTTCCTGATCTGTTATCTAAGATGGGACATCCTGTAATGGCCCAATTACTATTCGCACTTTTTACAAAAATAATTTTAATAGACGAGCTATGCTGTTCTCCTACAGCTCTTGTTTAGAATATATCTCCCTGGTTTGCTGGTACATTTTTGAAAAGTGGGGTTTCACATACAGAAAAAATTGTCATTATGAGCTATATTTTGACCTTTGAGCCTAATAAAACTTCAGCGAGGAGGATATTGGCAACATCTTGTAACATTGATGTTCCTGTAAGCTTGCCTTTTCATAGAAGTTACCTTGCTCTTAGCACCAACGTCAGCATTGGTTACAGAAATCTGCTATCCCTATATCCCTAGGTTCCTAGTTGGACACTCTACCACTGAGCTAAAGGGAAATTCAGTTATCATATGTATAATTGAAATCTGCCACAGTAAGGACAGCCATTTGTTAACTAAAAACCTACAGGCCAGATAATCTGTCAACTATAGACCTATAGGACAGACAATCTGTTAATTATACACCTACAGGACAGACAATCTGTCAACTATAGCCCTATAGGCCAGATAATCTGTTAATTATACACCTACAGGACAGACAATCTGTCAACTATAGACCTATAGGCCAGATAATCTGTTAATTATACACCTACAGGACAGACAATCTGTCAACTATAGCCCTATAGGCCAGATAATCTGTTAATTATACACCTACAGGACAGACAATCTGTCAACTATAGACCTATAGGACAGATAATCTGTCAACTATAGACCTATAGGACAGACAATCTGTTAATTATACGCCTACAGGACAGACAATCTGTTAATTATACACCTATAGGACAGACAATCTGTTGATTATACACCTATAGGACAGACAATCTGTTAATTATATACCTATAGGACAGACATTCTGTTAATTATACACCTATAGCTAAAGGGAAATTCAGTTATCATATGTATAATTGAAATCTGCCACAGTAAGGACAGCCATTTGTTAACTAAAAACCTACAGGCCAGATAATCTGTCAACTATAGACCTATAGGCCAGAAAATCTGTTAATTATACACCTACAGGACAGACAATCTGTCAACTATAGACCTATAGGCCAGATAATCTGTCAACTATAGACCTATAGGACAGACAATCTGTTAATTATACGCCTACAGGACAGACAATCTGTTAATTATACACCTATAGGACAGACAATCTGTTAATTATATACCTATAGGACAGACATTCTGTTAATTATACACCTATAGCTAAAGGGAAATTCAGTTATCATATGTATAATTGAAATCTGCCACAGTAAGGACAGCCATTTGTTAACTAAAAACCTACAGGCCAGATAATCTTTCAACTATAGACCTATAGGACAGACAATCTGTTACTTATACACCTATAGGACAGACAATCTGTTAATTATACACCTAAAGGACAGACAATCTGTTAATTATACACCTACAGGACAGATAATCTGTCAACTATAGACCTATAGGACAGATAATCTGTCAACTATAGACCTATAGGCCAGAAAATCTGTTAATTATACACCTACAGGACAGACAATCTGTCAACTATAGCCCTATAGGCCAGATAATCTGTTAATTATACACCTATAGGACAGACATTCTGTTAATTATACACCTATAGCTAAAGGGAAATTCAGTTATCATATGTATAATTGAAATCTGCCACAGTAAGGACAGCCATTTGTTATGTAAAATCCTACAGGCCAGATAATCTGTCAACTATAGACCTATAGGCCAGAAAATCTGTTAATTATACACCTACAGGACAGACAATCTGTCAACTATAGCCCTATAGGCCAGATAATCTGTTAATTATACACCTACAGGACAGACAATCTGTCAACTATAGACCTATAGGCCAGATAATCTGTTAATTATACACCTACAGGACAGATAATCTGTCAACTATAGACCTATAGGCCAGATAATCTGTCAACTATAGACCTATAGGCCAGATAATCTGTCAACTATAGACCTATAGGACAGACAATCTGTTAATTATACACCTA